TCTACCATCGTATGTTGCTTCAGCACCTACTGTGAAATCTTTTAAAAGTAATTTAAAATTGTACTTGATTTTTTTCTGATCTGTTATCTACGTATGTGTTATTTTTCTATCAGGTGTATGTCTACTACAACTCTTTTGTTGTTGTTGTTACAAGCCCTCATGCTTTTTGATGTACCTCCTTTGACACAATGTAACATCTTTTATTATTACTTTCTGTTTGTTGTCAATAAATATAAAGAAAAGAAAAGAAGAAAAGTATCCAACACATCTATCGATAATAGTGTCAGTCCCGCATGGCGTACAGCGCTTCTAAATATACTCTATACACAAGCATGGCCTGAAGGAACAGCAGCTACTGATCAAGAACTTCTGGCTTCACGTCTCCGAGCTCAAGTTGAAATTCTTCAAACTGTGGTTGGTGGTGAACAATCAAGTTGTTATTTGAATGAAGCGGATCCGAATGAACCGAATTGGCAGCAGAAATTTTTCGGCACTCAAGATATCTATGATAGACTAAAATCTATCAAAAAATCAGTTGATCCAAATGGTCTCTTTATTTGTAAGAATTGTGTTGATAGTGATGACTGGGCCGATCTTCACTGTCCCAAAAGATCCAGTGCTGCTCGAATCCCTGTCACAATAATTCTTCTTGCTCTATTTAAAATATTTCAAATAGCATGTTAACATTTACAATAAAAGAAGCCGAAGCTGATTACCAGGTCTCCAAACGTATAGTTCAGAATATATGATTGTGTATATACCTGGCTGGTTGTTTCAAAGATTTTCATACTCTACAAAACTTTTGAGAATAAATAAATATGTGTTTTAACTTTTGAAACGTGTTAGTACAATTGTATCAGAAAAATTAAACCCGTAGCCAAAGGGTTAACGGCCATAGATAATTTAATCCTTTAATATTAACGGTTAACGGATCCTTTGACCGTTAACATTGAAGGTTAATAGTTTCGTTCGTAAAGCTTTGACAGTAGAATCAAATGCTCTGTGAACCTCGAATCTTTAATCCATTAATATTAAAGTTCAGAAACGCTTTTGTTTCAACAGTAAAGGCTAAATAATCGCTCTGATTCTCTCACTTATAATCCTTTTCACAGAAACTTCGATTCACACTCGGTTCGAAACTCGATTACATAGAAAACTTCCCGTAAAAGAACTGAACCAAAATCAAAATCAATGGTAAACGTTTAAAAAAATTATTCTAATGAACTTAAAAAGTCAAAACTGAGTCACATCAATCTGAAAAATCAAAATTAATTTCC